CAAACATTATTTGATATTTCTATATGACAAAAGAACTACAATATGATTATTTGAACACATTTCTTAAAATTTAAACGATCGATTAAGTTTTACACAACTTCTAGAATTACCCAAATAACATACTGTTTATAATATGTGAAAACAGACAGGCTTAGACTTAATGAAAAATCAACCAAACAGCCTAAATACATCCCTATTTGTTAATATTTTTTTTCTCACACACATCAATATTAAAACAAGAAAATAAAATAAAGGAAAATACATTTTTTTCATTTGTGTTCTTGAAAAAAAAAAGAAAATTTTTTTTTTTTCGAGTTCTTGATCAGAAGAGAAAAAAAGGTAAAGATGTTATTTTTACAAATTTATCCTTTAAAATATGTCTTTTATAATGAAGGATGTGTAAGTTTTGTAGTTTTAGTAATCTATACTATATTATAAAGCATTTGGCCAAAAACTCTTAAAACCATTTTTTATGCATGAAGTACTGTTTATTGATGCATATTACTTGAAATTCAAGATTACAAGTAAATTGTGTGTAACTACAATTTATTAAAGTTTTATGTTTGAATTCGTATAACTAACTTCAGATAAACATAATCAAATAGACGATAACCATTTCATTTTAAATATAAAAAAACTAAAATATAATTAGGATAATCATTGAATTCTAATAAAATACTTAATTATTATATTTATAAAAAATTATATTATTAAACCAAAAATAAAAAATTGAATTAATGAAATACACAAAAAATGAGAAATTTTAAATATTTATTTGGTATTAATATCAATTTTTTTAATGATATTTTCATATTTATATTTTATTCAAAAATAAAACATTACGTCTTCTCAAAACCACATAAAAAACCGGTAATATAACATCGACTAAGACAAAAAAAAAATGAAACACTAAAATCGAGATGTATCTCGCCGCATTGTGCGTATACTCTTCTAGTTTTTTTTAAATGGTTTTAGTTTTTTTTCTTTTTCTTTCACTTTGTGGGAGAAAACTTATCATTATTTTTCTTCTTTTTCTTTCACTTTGTGGGAGAAAACTTATCCCCTTTCCCTCCCTTTCCTTTCTTTCCTATCATTAAAAAGATTTCGAGAACACAATGTTATTTTTTACATTTTTAATACACGGTTTTATCTGATTTTGATATAAAATTGAATGTACAAAGCATTCACCTTAGAGATTTTAGGTGGATGACATTATCGGGTTGGGTTGGATTATGAAGGACATATATATATATATATATATATATATATATAGGGCCGGTTCCGTTGAGAATGAGAGTTAAGATGGGAATAGTAAAAAAAGATTTTCACCCTTGGACGCACATTAGGACGAGATGCCCTGGATCAATCCATGTATCAAGCGTGATTCATGAGTAGGTTGAGATTGAAGGTAATCGAGGGTCCAGATCCCTTCTTATGTTTCTCACCGCAACTCTACTTATCATACGATCCTTCACACACACATACACATATATATATATATATATATACACACACACATACATCCTTCACCGCAACTCTAGTCAACATTTGCAGCTTTGACCGAAAAGTATCGGATAGTTTCTCGCATGGGTATGCAGAAGATAGATGAGTAGTTTTGTAACTTTTACAAATAAGTGGTATATGTGAACCCATGTGATACAACATATGAATTTTATGGGTCATATCTGATCTTGATTGTATGAAAAACTAGGATCACTTTTTTACCACTCAAATATTTATTATTTTAAAAATAAAATATAAATGGTGTGAGTGTGAATGATGGTTGTACATATTTATAGTTAATGGTTTAATGGCGTGCAGTAGCCGACCAGGAAAAACTGAAAGAAAGCAAAAACAGAAAGAGAGTGGGCCCAAAATATTTAGTGATTGATAATGGTATCTTTGATTGGGCCCAACCCAACTCCACCTTTCATTATTTCACAGTCACACCACCCTCTACCGCCGCATTTCCTTCGCCTTTACGGATGTCGGGACAATTTTTTTAGGGTTAAATGCATTAAATAATAATTTATTTTCATAAATTTTTTTATTACAATATTTTATTTTTGTTTTTATTTATTATAACAATGGACTTTTAAATAATTTTTATTAAGGCATTGCATTTTAAAAAATCTACTCATTATAGCAATGGGTAACTTGTTACCTTTTAAACCGATTAACTCATTGACTTTTTTTGTTTGTGTGTCTTTTACGAGTTGATGTGAATGACACGTCATTTTGATGACTTAATTAAAATAAAAATAAAAACTTATTTCAAATTATTATTAGTAATTTTCATTTTTCATTACTATGATTTAAAAAAACATTTTTTTTTGAATTTTTCTTGTTAAGTTGCATGCAAATTAAATATTTTAGAATAAAATATTTCTTAAATAAACATGCTACATTATTTTTCGAGATATATTTTGTTTGTAAAAAAAGTAACACTTCTTATTTTATGTTGTTCAAAAAAATACATATCTTTTAAAGTTCTCTCTAAAATGTTAACGAAATAAATTGTGTTCTACAATTTTTTAATATTGTTATATTAATAAGTAATTCAAAAAAATCTAATTAAAATTAATATATTTATACGTCAAGTAAAAGTTATTGAATAAATAAAAAATCATTTTTTGGTAAAAAGAAACAATTCTTATTTTCTTTTTTCAAAAAACACATATTTATTTTAAAATGTTAGCGACATAAGTTGTCTTGTACTAGTTTTATTAATATTGGTATATTAATGAATAATTTAGAATTTTTTTAATTCATTTAATATATTTATTAAATAACATATAAAATATCTAAATATTAAAATTAAAAATACATTGTTTAATAAGAACTAGTAGATACTATAATAAAATAATTTTGAAAGTAAATACCTTATAGATTAAATGTTTCAAATCCAAATAAAATAATTTTGAAAGTAAATAATTATATTTCAAAATTAGTTTATTATAGTATCTACTAGTTCTTAAAAATACATTGTTTAATAAAAACTAGTCGATTCACAAATAGTAAAGTAGGATTGTTAATGAATTTGAGCATCTAAAGAGCTATTTATTTGGTAATTCTCGAACTTGATTAGGTGTCCAACACGACAAAACAAGTTCACTATAATGGGTCGAGCTCTGTAACACTAACGTCTCATTTAGTTTGCAAGATTGGATTGGATTGGATTTAGAAAGATTTGAAATTGAATTTCATTTCAATTCTATGTTTGGTTTGAAGGATTTCTCGGATTTGAAATCCCGTGATTTCATTAAAATCCTTAAACATAGGATTTTGAAATTCCATGCAGGTTGTAAGGATCTCGTAGGATTTGCAAATATGTTAAAAATATTTGTTTTGTAATAATCAATTAATAAAAATATAATTTAATTATTTTTATGATTATTTATCATTTTTTTATAAATAATGGAACTTAAATTCCATACTGAATCTTACAAACCAAACATATCAAAGACTCCTAATCCTTCCAAATCCAAGTCCCTCGAATCCCAAACCCTTATATGAAAATCCAAATCTCTCAAAACCATTTCATCGAAGCAAATGCCTCGTAATGTTCAACTCGAATCGTTTGAATGCTTGATTAGAATTTCCTAATCGATTTGACCCATACGAACATACACTTTTATCGTGTCGAACATGGTCATTAATACAATCAAAATATCAAGCTCGAACCAGAAAACGAGTTAAATGATCTCGAGTTCCAATCCATAAACAAGCTTATAAAACTTAATTTGTAGATCATATAATGTACAACTCGGAACTGTTAAAATACGCATCAAGCTCAATATTGGGACTCATAATATTCAAGCTCGAGCAATATGTGTGCATCTTTCATGCTTCCATTATACTGTCAAGTCGTAGGTTCTAAAAACCTTTTAGGGTCGAGCATTACATAAACAAATTTTAGAAGATATGTTTTTGTAATATATGAGTTTTATTCCAATATTAGGAATGATATCTTTACAAGATTCTCCAAATTTTCACAATGTCTATATGACTGCATGTTTGTTAGTAGGTTAATAAGCTTACCGAGACTCATACTTTATTGTTCAACTACACATGACTGTCTGTTAGTGGCTTAATAATATAGAAAATGGCTTATTCAGTAAGCTTTTCGAGGGGAGCTTTATACAAAAAGCCAAGTTTTTTTTTTCCAAACATGTCTATACCAATTAAAAAAGACTTCTTCCATTTATGAAAAAACTCTTTCAAACAAAAACCTTCCTAATCTACACAGACAAATTAATCCACACAGATAGCTTTATCCATACAGAACCTGTTTGTTAGTAACTTAATGAGCTTAATGGGACTCAACTTATTCGGTCAGCTATATATGACTGTTTAGTAATGGTTTAATGATATAAAACATGGCTTATTCAGTAAGCTTCTTGGAGGCGAGTTAAAGTCAAGTTTCTCCAAACCTGCCCCTATCAATTACAGGTGCTCCTTCCAAGTTCCATGTATGAAAAATAACTCTCCCAAACAAAAACCTTCCCAATCTATACAGACAATGATATCCACCACATAGACAACTTTATCTATACAGAACTTAGTGAAAAACCAATCAAACGGTCACCTATGTGTTGGATGTTGGATGTAGATAGGGAGATCTAGCTCATATTCAGTCAAACTCATAAAACGATATCAACTAATGTAAAACCCCTATAGATAAACTCCAAAACTTTATAAATAACCCTTGTAATGAGTTAGAGCAGCTTACCAACGATGAGCAGGATCTCGAATCTGAGTCCTTGATCGAATACCAGCGACAGATGGACCGTAAAACTCATCTCACTGCAGATGCGAGAAGTTAAAAGATTCAACTGCTACCAGAAGCAAGTAAAATATGAAAAACTCGACACGTTTACCTTATCCTTCTTTCAGAATATGTGGGACCGTCCTATTCTTCATCGAAAACTTGACCTGCGTTTTCGAATGCATACAACAGACATATGCAAAAGAAAGTGACATATTTCCGATTGTTTTTTAACGAAAAAACCAACCATGATTACTGTTATGAAATTTACAAGGAAAAAAATAAAAGTATTTCCCTATTGTACGAATGTCATCCAGGCACGGAGTTCAGAGATTATGGTATCTAGGAAGAAGGCGATAAGTTTTGTCTAACAAACAATCTCCCCTAATTAAGAAACAAAGCATAATTACAATGTACTTGTGTCCTTTTCGTCTACTCGTCTGGTTTAGGCTGGAGGCATCACAGTTCATGGCTGTTTTGATGGAAAACGGAAAGATCATTAGAACCAAATAGTCAACAGTTACGCGGTAAACAACTAAGCGCATCTCAAACATATTCTCTAAAATAAAGAAAATGGAGATTTTGTTCTCTATTTTGCTCTAACAGATTCTGTATATTGTTTCTCTAAACAACAGAAAACTCCAAGTTTAGAGAATTCTCTAAACCTAATGTGGAGAGAGAAATGATTTTTTTAATTCCCACCAATGAGATGGAGTTATTATTATTTTATATAAAGATTTTTTTTTTCATTGTATTGGGGTACGTTGTTGCATGTATATTTCAAATGCAAAAGTTCAATATCTTCCCACGAATTAGTAAATTAGGCACTGTTCCTTTGCACTGAATAAAAAGTTGTGGCTCAATTTTCAACATTTCATCGTAAATCTGAAATACCTATGTATAGGGAATCCGTTCATATAATGCCGGATTCTAGGTGACTTGGTGATTTCTGTGTGGGAGTAGACACTTTTTTATTCATCTAATTCACCGTGCAAGAATGCAGAGAGGGATGTGATATTAATTTAGGGAAATTAAAGTAAATAGTTGTTTTACCATTCACCTCCTAGCAACTCTCTTCCACATTCACCAAAAAATCAATACCTTCACGGCTTCATAAGTGCTCAGGCCGCAACTTGCAGAGGGGGTATTTTTTTTAAAATTGTTTTTCATACTTGAAGATCTCGGAGTGGGCATGGCTTGTTTTGAAAAGTGGGAATGTGGGAATGAAGCTTTCAACCCTCCGCAAGTTGCCCCTTACGCTAATGGCACGCTTTCAACCCTCTGCAAGTGGCAAGCTTGTCTTGAAAAGTGAGAGTGGCACTTAAGAGTTATTTTAGAAAAGCTCCCCCTCCGCAAGTTGCATCAAGGGCACTTGCAGAGGTATTGAATTTTTGGTGAGTGTGGGAGAGAGTTGGCTAGGAGGTGAATTGAGCCGGGTAAAACGGCTATTTACGTTAATTTCCCTATTTTGAGAGAACCTCTGATCACTCATGAGAAAGTGAAGGTTTCAGATTTTCTTGACTCTAATTCTTCTAATGATGAGTCTGCACAATCTTTCCCGGAATAAAATTATAAACCATCTTAATGATATTTTTAATGTTGAAATCTCTAAAATAGAGAATCAGTTGAAGTTGAATGTAATCTTTTTCAGATATTTTAACTTTTGATACTCTATTTTAGAGAAAGTATAGAGAATATGTTGGAGATGCTCTTGTCTGAATGAGAATTGGAGAAAGAAGGGAAGACAACTATATACCTTAAGGCAACAGAACCCAGAAACTTAATAGCCATGATGCTTCCCTTGGGAAACAGGATTTGAACTAGATAACCTAGTGAAATGAGAGAAATGACTGAGTAGAACACAAAATAAAGTTTAGTTTAACGGATAATAAAACAAAATGTAAATTACTAAAGGATATACATAACTCATTCTGAGAACAAGAAGAAATGATTATGAGGGATGTTTACCCGCCACTAGCAGAGCGTCCGGAGTAAACACCATATGATCCATAACCACTTACAGGAATCTGAAGCATATGAATGGTGATCATAACAAAAGCTAAATCATTTGTAGCACATCTTAAATGGGAAATAAATACTAGGAAACTAGAAGAGAATAAATGACTTCAATTGTATTAAATTGTTACCTGGGAACCGCCATAATTGTCAGCCGAAGGCAACTCTGGATCATATCTGCCGGAGTGAGAAGCATGTCCACGTCCACGGGAATTACCATCACGGTTTCCGTATCTTGATGCATCTGGCATGTCCATGGACATGGGAAGAAAAGGGATAGCAGGTGGTAGCGCCGCTCTAGTGCCTTCCATCTCAAATACATTGGCTCTTAAGCGTGTGGTTACTTGTAAGAGAGCACTACTAGCAACATTAATGTCTCCTGAGATCTGGCAAACATAAGTACTATTATTTGTCAAGATGTTTTTTGAAGTTTTTACAAGCCAGGGTTTTCACTGGAAACAGTCTCTCTACTCCCTAGGGTAGAGTAATGTCTGCATAGACCCTACCCCTAGCAGTGGCGGACCCAGGAAGTATTTTGAGCGGGTGCACATCTAATCGATCAAAGAGTTGTAAAATCGCAGTTGATGGGGGGAGAAATCATAGCAATTTGACTCCATATTTTGTCAATTTAGGGAATAAAATACATTTTTAAATGAAATCGACCTTAATCTTTTGAACATGTAGCAAGACTGTGTGTTACATTCAACGCGTTTTTAGCCAACGTCCATCATTACAAGAAACTTTTTTGGTTCTTGGTTGATTTCATAAAATTTTCTAATTTTTTTGGATTTGATTCGATTGTCTTTATCTTTCTTTTTCTAGGTTTCTAATTTTCTTACCTTACAAATCTAGGACTTCTAGTATTATATATGATATTTTACAATTTAAAGATAACTAATCAAATTAAAATAGCATTAGGGTTCGAGCAAATAAAAAATGACTACACACATTTAGTGCAAATCAGATTTAACAAATTTAGAATTTAGGACAAATCAATAATGAAATAAAATCAATTTAGAGCAAACGTAAAATTTAGGGGTAAACGAGGCAAAACAATAATGAAGTTAAAGCAATTTAGGACAAATAAATTCATCGTAACAGATAATATGCTTCGAACATATGAACCAGGAAGGATGGACTATTCCTCACGGATGGTGATTGAAGAATAGAAGTGGGAACAAAAACCCGTTGTTTAGAGAAGTTCTATTTAGATTTCAGTTTATCCCTTCAGTTTCAAAATATTTCAGAGCATCCTTCTATTTTTAAGAATTTTATAAGAAAACGATTTAAAAGATAAAAAAACTAAACACTTCCTACAAATGAGTCTCGAACCTGAGACCGATTGTAGACGGCAACTTTATCCACCTTACGACAACCACCTCAGCAACCTTAGATTATTGATATATATTTGGTTTCCAAAATATTTATGGGCACACTCAAATTAAGCGGGTGCACTCCTTCGACGTCTCGTTTTTTCCCTCTTCCGAAAATTGAGAGAAAGGGTGCACGGGACCCCACTCAACCCTTAATAGGTCCGCTGCTGACTACTTTCAAGTAGGGGATATACTGGGTATTTTCGGTACATGTTATTAAGAAGTTAGCATTTGTGAGTGTGTGGTGAGGTAACAGAAAGATATACTTATTTGCATGTGTTTGAAATTGATAATAATACCTGGACCATCTCTTCATCGTCGGATGCAACTTTGGTGAGATTGTCATTGCTTAGAATACGAATGTTTGCTCTCGTTAGGCTTCTCATTTCAGAAATAATCGAGCCACCTTTACCAATTAAACATCCTATTCTTGAGCTTGGGACTAGCAAGCGAGTGGTGAGTACATAAATTCCAGAATCCTTTTCACTTTTCTCACTGCATCGTGGCTGCAAACGCATTGCTGCGTCTATTGTTGGTGATGGATCTTCAAATACCTGTAAGACAACAAATCATAGTGGTATTCATCTTACGGAAAAGTTTCTACATCATTAGCCATTCAAAAGTTAATGATCCGAGAGAACTATGCATGCCTCTTTTGCAGATACGGTTATCAGACAATCATCTCCTTCAGCAGCAGAACTATCAACTTTGATGGATGCACCAGATTCTTGCCTCATTTGTTTGATAATTACACCACCTTTGCCGATCACAGCGCCAATATTCTCAGTTGGACAAACAAAACGAAGTGAGAATTCCTTTGCAGAGGCTGCCCAATCGCCCCCATCATTTTTGTAGCTCCCATAAGGACCCATTAAAGAAACCACACCCATAAGAGGAGGACCAGAATTTGGGCCCACGTAGCCGCCACCAGCTCTATGAAGATTGGATGAGGACAAGAATAAATGCTGTGACCGCGATGGATTATCATGAAGGCGAGATGCCAATTGATAGAGGGCATTCCTAACAACTGTAGCTTCACCACTTATCTAGAAAATTATAGAATTCCACTCTTTAGCACAAGTAACCAATCATCTATAACCCGATATTGCATCACTGGATTACAAACACATAGGATCACCGAAGTTGTAATATTGAAAACAATAACTTTTTCTCGGCAAACCATATTAAGAAGTAGAAAAAAAATTCTTGAAGATAATCTCTCTCTCCACACTCTTCGCAAAACCACAAAGCAAGTGCCAGAAAGCACCTGCAAATCACAAAAAATGTAATAAAGAGGGTTACCTGGAGAAGCTCATCGGTACTCAACGCACAGTTTGGCAGGTGTTCCCTACTCAGAATACGAATTTGGGCGCGGGTTTCACTACGTATGGTTTGGACAACTTGCCCACCTTTGCCAATCACACATCCAATCTGATCAGAAGGAACAAGCATTCGCACAGTAACTTGCTGAACCTCATCAAGTTCATCATCAGTAGGTGCTTCTTCAGCAATAATCCTATCATGCACCTTAAAGAGAGCATCCTGAGCAGGTGAAACAAGATCATCGCTATCTCCAAAACTATTTGTTTCCTCACCTGAACTATAGATAATGACAACACGTTCCTCACAGCCAGGCACGGATTCATTAATTCTAATCTTTGCCTGGGTGTCTGATCTCAGTTGCTTCACAATTTCTCCTCCCCTGCCAATAATACTTCCAATTCTTCTACCAGGGCACAAGTATCGGTACACTGTATCTTCTGGTCCAATAGCATGTGACTCCCTCTCATCAACAGGATTTGTTCTCTTACCTCCTTCACTTCCAGGGAAGTCAGGTTGATAATGAGATCTTTTCTCGTAGTCATTCTTCTGGCCAGCCATTAGCAGACAATACTATGACCAATCACTCTAGCAGAAAGTCGGAAACAACAAAAAGTATAGCTCTGATGAACAGAATTAGCTTCAAAAATCAAAGACTGCCAAAAGTTTACACGTAAACACATGCAAGAAACTGAGTTCACTTTTTAATTAAGTTGAGAGGATTGCAATCTCATCATAAAAAACATTAAATTTTACCTACTCTTATACACAATATATATGAGGCAAAAGGAATTTGAGAAAGAAAAAAGAGACATGCAGAAGAAATCCTCCTAAGCCTTTCCCTACCATTCTACACATTGTATTTTCCTCTCTACACTTTCCAGAGTACTTTTATTTGTGAGTGATCACACTAGTCCATTTTCTCAAAGTACACACACTACAATACGATCTGAGTTTTTTTAAGCAAGTACATATAGTCATACCAAGTTACCAACAATCACATAAAAGTCAAATGGATGCATTTCCACAAGGGAATCTGGGAAGCTAATAAATTGCAAATGCTGAAGCCTAAATTCATCAAACCCAGGCACTGGTTTAGGCGTATTTTACATCTCACAAATTATCATTCCTCATCTCTCCAAGAACAATTAGAAAGGCATGCACTTTTTACAAGCCTATGAGTTGCTCTAATTTACCAAGTGAACTAATTCCCACCTTCAAACTCAGTGCTTTATTCCTCAAATACTAAGTAAAAAAAATTCAAAAAACATGAGCTGTTACACCGATCACTATAAGTAGAAATAAATTGATCTCAAACAACAAAATCCACACCAGTGGTGATTCCAATTTACTAACTTTTGATCTCAACAATCAAAATGCACATCTTCTACAGAACAAAAAAACATATAATCTTAATTCCTCCATTTCCAAAAGAGAGAAGTTCAAATTCGGGGAAACAAAGCTTTCTAAATTCATTAGCGAATCAGGCGTTCGGTGATTAATTCGCCACAAAAGCATGGTAAGTGCGTGATTACACATGAATAAATTCTGAATACAATCGAAATTAATAATTAATCGTCTCAAACTAGCGAGTCGCAAGCACGGAGATCTATTCAAGCTTTAATACACCGATCAAGTGTTTAAATTAAGATACAAACCGAGTGATATATAATCGAAGTTCTCAATGAAATCAAATATAATTCGAATGAGATAGGGTTGAGGAACACTTACTGCGTGCAGAGTTGTGGCCGAAGGAGAAGACCAAGCACGATATGTGTGAGCCACAGTAGCAGTTGGGTTCAATTTTTGCTTTCTCTGAATTTTGTAGTAGGGTTTGAGCACCAAATGAGGGGCACCGTTACTGGAATTTAATTACATTTATCACCCCTCAAATAATGATAATGATATCCAACCCCCTTTACTTTTTAGGTAACGTTTAATCGGGATGTTTGGCTGGTTTTTCATTAAGTTGTCTATATGGATTAATTTGTCTGTATAGATTAAGAATATTTTTGTTTGAAATGGTTTTTTAATACATAGAGGAGTTGGAGTGACCTGTTTGTAGAAAAAGTTTGACTTTCTGCATAAAGCTCCTCCCTATAAACTTACTAAATAATCAACTTTTTGTATCATTAAGTCACTACCAAACAGTCATTATAGCAAAACTATTAAGTTGTGAGTCTCATTAAACTCGTTAAACTGCTAACAAACAGACCCTAAGTCGAATTTAGTCATTTCAAAAAGTTCGTTTTTGTCACATTATATCAAATCAAATGATCCCAGTATATCTCACCCGAGTGTAAGATCTAGGGTTGGATGTATGTAAACTTAAAATCTATTTTCAAAAAATAAAACATCTATTTTTAATTGATTATCGAGATTTTAATTGATTATCGAGATATTTAAATGAAATATTCTAGCACGAGATGTATGGACCCTTCTAGAACTTGCTTGGTTCTTGTTGATCCTTTTCTTTTTGAAGTATATAATATTTATATACAGCAAAAACAACAAATAAACCCGCACACCATCCTCACTATGGTGAGGTTTGAACCCCTGACCTCCTAGAAGGCCAAAGGCTCTTTAGTGGGTTGATCATTGTTTGGCCCTTCATGATCGATCATTCTCTAAAGTTCTAACATCCCCTTGATTAGTCTAGAATGTTCCGGCTTATTAAGCAACCTTCAGGCAAGATGTGACAATATAGCGTTAAATTTTGATTGGTGAAGATTGCTAAGTATAAAGTTATCTTGGGTTTTGATCATTTATTAATTTTGCTTCGGTTCATGAAACTGTTACAGTGATTTCCAATAACGCCTTATAAGATAGATAAACATAATTCAATATGGAATGTTTATTTCATAGAAACCTAACCAAGACACTGTTGAATTGTCTATTCACAAAAGGGAAAACAAATATAACGAATCAATCACACTATTCATTTAATTTATGTCGTAAAAAAAACCTATTTACAAATCTGTCAGTGTTGACATTTGACCCAAAACAAAAAAAACTCTGTTATTTTCTCAAAACATGTAGGTCAACATACATATTTTTTGAGTAAACTACAAATTTGGTTTTTGTAGTTTCTCAAAAATAACACTTTTCGTCACGGTAGTTTTGAAATTACAAAATAGCCCTTGTGGTTTGTAAAAACATTCGGATTTGTACCTTCCATTTAATGGCCGTTGAAAGATTCTGCTAAATGAAAGGCTTTTTCGTTTTTTTATCGATTATTTTGTCTTTTACCCAATAAAAACCGCATGTATCAAAATCATAAAATCGGTTTTGATGAAAGGACGAAAACGTCTCGTATTTAACGGAAAGTTTTAACAACCGTTAAATGAATGAACCAAATCTCGATGACCATCTTGTAATTTCGAAACTATAGAAACAAAAAGTCAGATTTATAGCTTTTTCTATAAATTTTAGAGAATCTAAACGTGTCATTAATGGACGTGGTCTAGATCTATCCCCACACAAGGCAAACCCCTACTAATGGGATGTTAGTGTGGGCACAAAGGCTTTTACACCCTATGAGAATTGAGCCTCAACTACAATTAAATATAATATAGTGATATATTAGAATTTTTTTTTAGGGCAAATTGTATAAAAAAGTAACGTATTTTAACTTGACTTATATTTTGGGTAACGTACTTTCAAAACTTCCGTTTTGATACTTAAGATGTAAAATTTTAAACATTTAAGTACTCGGGCAACTAGTTGAAACATTAACTGGTTACTATATTGATGTGCGGAGTGATGAGATGAAACTAGGTTGAACCGTTGAATAACAAATAATACTGAATTGGATACTACATCACTCGCCACATCAACATGGTAACCAATTAATATTTCAACCGGTTACACGAGTACTTAAATGTTTAAAACTTTGCATTCTAGTTATCAAAATGGAAGTTTTGAAAGTACGTCAACTAAAACATGAATCAAGTTAAAGTATATTATTATTATTTTCATGCAATTTGTCTCATTTTTTATTTAAAAAGAAACCATTTATTGATCGATGTTGACATTTTTTGTTGCAATAGAAAACGATCTAGACCACGACATTAAACCAAACCACGTTGAAGGTGATTGATTTCATTTTACGTTTTAAAATAGATACAGTTTAATCTACACCCATTTTAAACTGGAACAAAATACAATTTAATTATCTTAAGAGATTTTATGATCCTATCAAAATTGATTAGCTGATAAGCTAACGTATGAACTACCAATTAATTTATCAATCATTGGATAACTTATCAGCTATTTGTAAAATGAAACATTCTCAGTATATGATAACAAAAAGTATATCAGTATAGATTTGGTTAATGGTATAAATTTTATAAATCTTGCATTTTGGATATATTGACCTTCTAAACTAAATATTTTAAGATATAATTTAAACCCAGATCGACCACCCGTTTTGCAGGTAGCCCGGAGTCACCGTATTTGAATCTCCATGATCACAAGGGGATTTTTTTTCCTCCTTGAATTCAAACTTGAGACGTCCAGACACTTTTGACTTTTAGAGTCCAAGTTTAAACCAATCGAACACCACGTTTATGGTTTAAAATTGGTTATATTGAAAGTTACATTAAACGGTTTTTGGTCTATAAATAAAATGATTTTGAATTTGAACTTAAAATAGCTAAGCTTTGAAAAATGACAAAGAAAACTTGTTCTCGTGAAAAATTGATTGCTAGAATAAATGTAAAATCATGTACTATCATAAACTTTAATCAACTTGTTATATGATTGCCTAATTGAAAACACACATACAAATACCTATCTAAATTAAAGTGTCATGCAATATAGCAGTGATGCTATATACATCTTTATTTATATCAGAATCAGATCAATTTATGCATTGAAAATGTAACAACTTTGTCTCAAATTAGTAAAAAAAAAATTGGGATTTGTAAGCTTCTTATAAGCCTCAAGTTCTTGGGCTAGCAATAAATTACGATCAAAGTTATTATCCCAGTCTCTGATGATTTGAGTTTGAGGGTGATACAAATGGTATCAAAGCTGATTTTTGTACCATCGAGATGATGAGTCCTTGAGAGAGGGGTGTTTGTAAAATCTAGGTGAATTCTTCATCGTCGATACAAGGAGAAAGATTCTGGGCAAGCTTGACGAGGACGTCAGGTGTTTAAATGGGGGAGTTTGTAACAACTCATCTCGCATAGATAAAAATGATATATGTTACCTTCTTATAAGGCTCAAGTTCTTGACCAGTCTGTTGCTTCGAGCTTTCTGAATTCTGATGTAACAAAAAATGTAAAAATTAAGGGGTTGTTTACCTAAACACTTATCCGGTAAGCACTTATCGGTAAAATTCAACATTATCGCTCACTTACAAGGTAAGATTTTATTCACTAAAACGCATTGTATGCAACAATTTATCCCGGTAAGCGCTAACCATGGTAAAAGTTCTCGTCCTCACTTACCGGGTAAGACTCTCGATTCTTGCCTTCGTTCTTATCGGGTAAGACTCTCGATTCTTGCTTTCGCTCTTATCGGGTAAGACTCTATTCTTGCATTCGCTCTTATCGGGTAAGATATTTAGCCCTTGTCATATTCATCCGGTAAAGTAAAGTGACTTGGTAAACGCTTACCCAGGTAAGCGTTTAGTAAACGACACCTAAGTCTTAATATTGATATACCTTTTAGCAATTTTTTTGAATATTTATATTTAAATTGTAATAATTGAGGTGGTTAGAGGGTTCTTGTTAGCTTTGATGCATTGCATCATTATAAAAAATAAAACATTGCATTACAAACCAGAAGGGTTACATTTAATTATCTCATTATAATAACTTTTATTCCATGCAATAAATATTCTTCATTTTCATTATTTTTAAATATATAATATTTACATACATTAAATTCGTCTAATTCCAACAACCTTAGTAACTCGTCCACACCTCCATGGTCCGTTGACACTCCTCAATGGCCACTTGCATTAGACTGTTAGTGAATGTTTGTATTATATGCATGTTATTTAAATGCTTGTATAGGTAGAGATAAGTGGCACAATACACATTGACATGTTGCGTGAATGCTTGATGGTTTTAGTGCATCTAGATCCAGTTGATAAAAATGTCAATTTAAATAAAATTATAACATCAACTTTTTCGATGTTTGTACAATACCATACCAACCAAATAATATTGATATCAGTTTAGCAAGTATAGTTGATTGATACATGATATAAAATTTTACATATCAGTTATAATTAATTAGTACATGATAAAGTAACATATACATGTGTATTTGAATTAATTAGGTAACATGAGTCCAATATCCCCTTTAATTAGTACATTGTCATTTTGCATGATGGTTATTATCTTTACAAACCAAACAAATCTAGACACATAGATATCATTCCATACTTGCTTTATTCCAAAGTAACACTCCCACTAATTATGGCCATTATTACATGGGTGTTCATGAGTTAGGTTGATCGGGTTAAAGACATTTGAACAACTCAAAATAATATTGACGGTTTGAAAAATCCTAACCCTACCCAACCTAACTCAGATCAAAGTGCAAGCCAAACCAAACCGTACGGGTTGGTCGGATAAATTTATTTATTTTTGTTTAATCAATAAAATTAATAGAATAAGATTGCTTGCAAATCAATACAATTCATTTTGATTTAACCAAAAAAATTATGGTATCATCCAATCTGCTCAACCGATCTTTTTACTGCCTATTGGACAAACATTAATGAGACAATTATTTATTTTTTTAATAAAAAATTCAAATTCTATATATAGAAAGAGATATTTGAGAT